TTGGTTTTGTATATATGCTATTTATTATGTTGAGGTATTTCCCTTCAATTCCTATTTTGTTGAATGTTTTAATCAAGAATGGATGTTGGATTTTGTCAAATGCCTTTTCTGCATCAATTGATATGTGGTTCTTTTCCTTTTTTCTTATTTATATGGTGGATTATGTTGATTGTTTTTCTAATGTTAAACTATCCTTGTATCCCTGTTATGAATCCCATTTGGTTATGATGTATCATCTTTTTGATGTGCTGCTGGATTTGTTGGCTAGGATTTTGTTGAGAATTTTTACATCTATGTTCATGAGGGATATTGGTCTATAATTTTCTTTCTTAGTAACATCCTTCACTGGTTTTGGTATGAGGGTTATGCTTGCTTATAAAATGTATTAGGAAGTTTTCCATCCTCCTCTATCTTCTGGAGTAATTTGAGTAGAATTGATGACAGCTCTTTCCTGAATATTTGGTAGAACTCACCAGTGAAGACATCTTGGCCTGGACTTCTTTTGGTTGGGAGTTTTTTGATGACCTGATAAATTTCTTCTTTTATTAAGGGTCTGTTCAGGTTTTCTACTTCACTCTGTGTAAGTTTAGGTAGATTGAAAAATGTATCATCTCTTCTAAGTTTTCAAATTTGTTGGAGTACAACTTTTCATATTATTCTCTTATTGTCCTTTTGATTTCCTTTGGTTCCATTGTGTCATCACTTATGTGGTTTCTAATACATGTATTTATGACTTCTCCCTCTTTTCTTTTGTTAGGTTTGCCAGTGGTCTGTCAATTTTGTTAACCCTTTCAAAGAACAAGTTTCTTGTCCTGTTGATTCTTTCAATAGATTTTCTGTTTTCTATCTCATTTTTTTCTGCTCTAATCTTTATTATTTCTTTTCTTTTGGTGGCTGTAGGTTCCCTTTGTTGGTCTGTTTCTAATTGTTGTAGACGCTGTGTTAATTTCAGTTCTTTCTTCTTTTTGGATGTGTGTGTTTATTGCAATAAATTATCCTCTCAGCAGCACTTTTGCCGTGTCCCAAAGATTTTGCTATGTTGTGTTTTCGTTCTCATTTGTTCCTATGAACTTTGTGAGTTTACGTTTAATGTCTTCTACTACCCAGTTGCTTTTCAGCAGAGTGTTATTCAGTTTCCATGTATTTAACTTTATTGCCTTGGTCTTCCTATTGTTGATTTCTAATTTGATAGTGTTGTGGTTTGAGAAGATACTGTGTAGTATTTTGATATTTGTAAATTTATGGAGGTTTGTTTTGTGGCCTAACACATGGCCAATTCTGGAGAATATTCCATGTGCACTGGAAAAGAATGTGTATTGTGCTGGGTCAAATGCTCTGTACACATCTATGGGTCCAGTAGACTGATTGTGTTGTTTAGTTCCTCTGTGTCTTTGTCAAGTTTCTTTCTGGTTGTTCTATCCATTTTTGAAAGCGGTGTATTAAAATTACCCACTATTATTGTAGATTCATTTATTTCTTTCTTCAAATCTATTAGAGTTTGCTTTATATATTTTGGAGCTCTTTCACTGGGAGAGTAGATATTTATTATGGTTATGTCATCTTGTTCAGTTGATCCTTTAATCATGAGATAATATCCATCTTTATCTATTATGCTGGTTTTTGCTTTAAAGTTTATTTTATCAGAGGTTAGTACTGCCACTCCTGTTCATTTTTTATTGCAATTATCTTGGTATCTTTTTTTCCCATCCTTTGACTTTTAATCTGTTTTTGTCTCTGTATGTGAGATGTGTCTCTTACAGACAGCATATTGAAGGATCTTGTTTTCTTCTCCATTCTGCCACCCTACATCTCTTAACTGGTGCATTTAATCTGTTTACATTCAGTATAATTATAGATTGTTTTTGTTGTTAGGTGCAATCAAGTCGGTACCAACCCATAGTGACCTTATGCACAGCAGAACGAAACACTGATCAATCCTGAGCCAACCTCAGCAATGTTGCCATGCTTGAGTCCATCGATGCTGCCACTTGGCCAATCCATCTCGTTGGGGGGGTCTTCCTCTTTCACTCTGATATCTTTCTCCATTGACTGGTCCCTCTTGACAATATGTCCGAAGTATGAGAGACGAAGTTTGGCCATCTTCGCCTCCAAGGAGCACTCTGGCTGTACTTCTTCCAAAATGTATCTCTTGGTTCTTTTGGCAGCCCATGGCACTTCCAATTTTCTCCTCCAACACCATAACTCAAATGCATCAATTTTTCTACGGTCTTCCTTATTCACTCTCCAGCTTTCTCATGCGTATGAGGTTACTGAAAATACCATGGCTTGAGTCAGGCACACCTTAGTCCTCAAGCTGACATCTTTGCTCTTCAACACTTTAAAAAGATCTTGTGCACCAGACTCGCCTAAAGCAACACATCATTTGATTTCTTGACTGCTGCTTCCATGAGTGTTCATAGTTGATCCAAGAACAATGAAGTCCTTGACAACTTTAATCTTTTCTTTCTTCTTCTTTTTTAAAAAAATGTTTTATGGTGTATTGTGTGATAGTATACATGGGGGAACATTAGTTTTACATTCATTCCATCATACATCGTCTCATTGCCACAGTTACCATCCC